TATTTAAAGAAGTCGAGGAAAATAAGAGTAAATAGGGGCAAAAACGAAAAAATAATCGTCTCCGGAAAGGCTTGTTTTCGAACACGACACCATTATTTGATTTGGATAACAAATATTTTTCGCACCATCACGTTTCGTAACAAAATTGTATACATTTATTATTTGATGTGGATAACATATTTTTCTCGTACTATCGCGTTTCGTAACAAAATTGTATACATTTAAAGATGTCGAGAAAAATAAGACTAAATAGGGGAAAAAACGAAAAAATAATCAACGTCTCCAGAAAGGCTTGTTTCGAACACGTCACTATTATTTGATGTGGATAACATATATTTCTCGTACCATCGAGTTTCGTAACAAAATTTTATATATTTAAAGAAGTCGAGGAAAATAAGAGTAAATAGGGGCAAAAACAAAAAAATAAATCAACGTCTCCGGAAAGGCTTGTTTTCGAACACGGCACCAATATTTGATGTGAATAACATATATTTCTCGCACCATCGCGTTTCGAAGCAAACTCGTACGCATTTAAAGAAGTCGAGGAAAATAAGAGTAAATAGGGGCAAAAACGAAAAAATAATCGTCTCCAGAAAGGCTTGTTTTCGAACACGACACCATTATTTGATTTGGATAACATATATTTCTCGCACCATCATGTTTCGTAAAAAAATCGTATACATTTAAAGAAGTCGTGGAAAATAAGAGTAAATATGGGCAAAAACGAAAAAATAATCATCGTCTCCGAAAAGGCTTGTTTTCAAACACGACACCATTATTTGATGTCACTACAAGAAATTTCAGAAAACATGACGAAAAAATTCGTCATGTAAACCTTATTTTTCGTCACAAAAGTAAATTGATGACGAAATTTTGTCGCCACATGGATCATCACCGTAGCCGCGTCATATTAGGTGTATGTGACAAATTTCGAACTTGTCACCAAATGTTTTACTTTTAATGACGATTATATTTATCGTCATGTTATTTGGTCATCTGTCATGACGATAATTTCGTCACGTTTATTATGATAATTTTGTCATGTAAACGATTATTTTGTCATAAAAAGACAAGTTTTAAATGACGAAAACTTAACTTTGTCATCTAAATATTTTTTTTAGTGGCGATTTTTATTATTTTATCAAATTTATAAAATTTTAGTGACGAATATCTTTGTGGTGTTTTTGTTATAAAAGTCGTCATATTTCATATAATTCGTCATGAAAAAAATACTTTATAATTAAAAAATATTGGTCGTCGCAGAAAGAAAAATTTAAATAGTGACAAAATATTCATTGTATCAAAAAACATATAAAAGCGACGAATTCTTTTGTCAAGAAATTATTAATTCTATGGTTACGAAGAAAAAGATCGTCATCAAAAGCTTGCTATATAATGACAACATAAATTGTCGTGAAATGATAAATATTCAGTGACAAAATTTATCGTCATTAAAATTTTGTATGGTGACAAATCCAAACAAATACATCACACTTACATGTCATAAATTGACATAGTAAATCTCATTGTATCACGTTTCTAAATTGACATATCTCCTAATAGAGTGTCTTGAATATATCAACCTCGAAACACTAGCCTCGAGACCTTCTCTTGCTAAATCCAAGCAGCCACACAAAAAAATGTTCGCCTGTATGTGTTAAAGCTTTTCGAATCAATGTATAGTAATTAAAATATGAAGAAGTATGACATTAAAGTAAGTTCGCACATGACTAACATGAAACTTATTACTTACATGTAACGTTTGAGGTAAATTTTGTTCTCAATGGCAGCCATGAAAGCCATAAGCTTATCAATACTTGCACCTTGTTGACTTTTGAAAATCATGTAAGAAGAAAGAAATGAAATGAAAAATGGGTTGTCTCACAAGAATAAGTTTGGTTGTGCATTAACAAACCTGCCATGTCTAGAAAGGTCATTAATTAACCAGTACATACTCTCTCAACAGCCAGTCCATGTTCTAGTTGCAGTCTAAGAGCAGTGTTTCTAGTAGCAATCATCAGTTCCATGAGAGTCGTGGCCCCTAATATGCATGTCAAAGCAAAAATGGGAAAAATTAAAATCAAAATAAAATTTAAAAGGAAATCAGCAGAAACAAAAGTGACGTGATCAATAATATTTTCAATAGCAAGTACTTCACACGAACGACAAAACTCAAACCATAATGCAAATAGTCACAAGCAATAGCCAAGGACAAACCCATTTAATCATAACCACGACCCTGCTGCCTCGAGTTATAAGAACATAATTTGTTTCCTGCGGATCATGATAATCACAAGACGATGCCAGTTTATAGTTAACCCACTAAAAAGGTACAATCACCATAGGAAAATTTGCCAAATAGACAAATACTAATGACAAGATTGGAAATTCTAGATCTGTGGTTTTATTACTGTAATTATTATTAACATAAAAAATAAATATTGAAATACAATTGAAAGAAACATCATTTCTTGTTAATATTTATCACCTTTTCTTTATTGGGCGATATCACTCAAATAAGGAATAGGTTATAATTGCCCGACAAGCGATGCCCAATGGACTTAAATTGTAGCAAAATTATCCAACTTCGGCTCAGTCGGCGCAGGTGTGAAGAAAAGAAAAAAGAAAAGGAAAAAAGAAAACATAAAGCACATTAATAGACTGAATTTTATGCCTTAAAAACCAGCACCGAGTTCTTCAAATTATAGCTATTTATCATTATATCTAAATAATCAAAACAAAGTCCAAGAATTAGTGGGTTACCTATGACAATATTTGCTTCAAGACATGGGAAACCACAAGATCACTTCAACTTGAGGTGACATTCATTTAGCAAAAACTAATTAATTAAATTCTTTCTCTCTTTCTTTCTGAAGCCGCCGTCGCTCAAGTTCTCGTCCCTGCTTCTGATCGCAGTTGCTTTTCCCATTGTAGCATTGTCCTCAGCAGTTGTACCTGGCGTTCACTTCAGCATATAAATAAACATGTACATATAAGCATATATTCTATGAATACTACCTCTGAGTTTATCCTGTATCACAACATTCTTGTTAATCTTCTGAAATTTTAATACCACTGATAGGGGTTATTCTTAACACTTTGATGTGGTTATTACCTGTACTCCACAAACTATAATCTTGAAATACATACATATAGCAACACATATTCAAAACATAAGCTAAAAGTAGTCACATCATATTGAACGAAAGGATAATATTTAGATTTCCCTCGAATCCCAAATATTATATACAAAAGCATATTCAAAATAGATGCAAATTACTCTCAAATACTGACAACACAAATAATACATTCTGATTTTAAATCACAAATTGCACATATCCAACTATAGTTTAGGAGAAATTCAACCACAGAGGTGTACATATATATCCACAAAAAAGAGAAAAAAATAATAAGTGTACAGATAGATCCACAAGAAAGAGAAAAAAAAAATAATAATCAAGGAGCTATGATATAATGTAGAATCTTCCAGAAGAGAGTCATATTGTGTGTATTGGCAATATGGTCCAAGAAGAATAAATGAACATATTTTCACAACTCCAGCCAAAAAAAACACACAAATCACACTACTCTTCCTTGGCCTTGGTTTTAACCAGAGCCTTTCTCATCTGCCACATCATGCCTGAGTATCAAAAGGGTAAATAGTAATAATCGAATGAAAAATTCCACCTGTTTGGCATTCTCACGCTGTACTTAACGGTGCTCCTCATGTACTGCAGCGCACACCAGATCAACCCCACCTCGCTACCAATCACCAGAGGGTACAACATCAGAAACGTGTTGTACCTTAGCCATACCAGCCCGGGTGGCGCGTGCACGAATGCCTCCTTGAACCAGAAGACCGAGTAGCGGATAATCTCCACAATCGACCAGCTGACGACGAGGGATCCGACTAAGAAATGAGTCTGGATCTCGGGGAAGCTGTACAGGATGACCCACGCGACTTAGACCCGGCCGCTTACTTCGGAAAGGGTGGCGGCGACCGGAGATCTGACGATTCCGGTCAGGCTGTGGAGGATCTCTGAGAGCGTGGCGGATTGGGCGAGGAGGAGGGGGTTTTCGACGGCGACATAGAGAGAGAGGTGGCTTGTGGTGATGAGGGCAGTGGCCGCGATGTTGAGGACCTGGGACCCGCCGAGGAAGAGGGTCCAGTTGTATAGGACGAGGTAGGTTCGCTGGAGGGAGGGGAATATTCCGGCCATCAGAGTTTGTATTGGCGGTGGTTGTTTGGATTTGTGTGTGCAATGTGTGCCTTATTGTTCGACGGGTGCTTTTTAGAATGGATTAGAGCATCTCCAATGGTTGAGCATCTATTTTGAGATGAATGGTATAGAGAAAGGGAATAAAAATATTTTGTCTCCAATGGTTAACGTCAATTGTAGAATAATTTGATATGTGTAAAATAATAATTGGTTGGTGGAAAGAAAAATATTAAATAAATAATATAATATAGGGTAGAAGATGTCTAGAAGTCTTTCTACATCTAGAAAGACTCTACAATTTTGAAACGCCACATCAGATTTTTAAGGTTATGTGGCAATGAATTAGAGCAATCCATGTACCATTGGAGATGCTCTTAGTGTGGTAAAGATATTTTATTCAATTTAAGTAGGTAGGACTTAGGAGTGATAATTTTTTTTTTTTGGGGGGGTAGATTTCCCTCTAGTTGTCAATGCCTAATTATTTTGTTGTTTCCATTATAAAATTCAATCCACACTCAATTAATACTTAAAAATTGATTTAATATTATTTCAATTTTATTAGTTTTAATATTATCAATACAATATAACTAGTGCGTGGCTCGTGCAATGTAGGAAAAACAATATTATGATTGTATTATAAATTAAATATATAAATACATTTAATCATGATTTACCAATTGCTTTTAAATTAAACTGGGTTGTACACAGTCCGATCAAATGGACCGAGAACCAGTTTATAACCAGTCGAGTTCGTTTGAATAAAATATTTGCTATCGAATCCGTCAACACCAGTCAGTTGGACTGCTAGGATCGATACGATTTTCTGAATAAATTTTGTAACATTTGAAATTATTTTAAATAAAATTACATATTTAAATAAAATAGAAATTTATAATTTTTTTATCAATTATTTTAAACATTTGAATTTATAAATTATTTGTAGTAACAAATTTTATTTAAATTCATTACAAAAAAATACTCTCTCTCTCTCTCTCTCTCTCTCTCTATATATATATATATATATATATATATATATATATATATTAAATGTTCATAAATTAAAATCTGAACAAAACACACATGGTTTAATAAAATAACTTGATCGTTTCGATGACGGTTCAGTTATGAAAACATTATATTTACTGTACATTAATAAAACTTATAATAAAATATTATTTTATTCACATAAATATTATGATGTAAAATATTTATAAATTATTAAACATGTTGTAATAAAACTTTTAATAAAAAAATAATTTATAAATTATAAATTATTAAACATATTGTTAATACGATTATTTGAGGTTTGGACTGCATCATATTCACGCAATAAAGTAATTTACAAATTAAAATTTATGTTTAGGTTCAATAATCGATTTGATCTGGTCAATCTGATACATAACTTAGTCACATGAGACTAACCAAATTGTGTCAAACTGATACATAACTTAGTTCAGAATCAATACATTTTTAAATTATTTATTTAATGTACTTATTTTTTAATTTATTCATATTTAGTAAATAAAGGAGTTTTCATAATTAAAAGTGGATAAATTGAGTTATTATATAATACCACGTTAAATTACAAAACTTTTACATAATTTAATTATATTATTATAATTAACTAATTTTATATAACTTTTATTATCATTTATATTGTTTTTTATACTAATTTACCTTACATAATTTTAATTTAACATTATTTTAATATTACATATATATTATATATTTAAATAAAAATTATATTAAATGTATATTTAAAACAAAATTTAATAATAATGTATTATTATTTTCTTATTTATGTAATTTGATGTTTTATATTTCACAATTAATTCATAATTAATTGATAAATAATGTATAATTTTTAAAATTAAAAGTGGCATAAAATGAATTATTAAATCACTTTGGATTATAAAACTTTTACATAGATTATTTATTAAATATGTATTGATTACGATAGCAAAAATAGTAAATTAAATAAAATAAATAATATGTATTAAATTTTTCGTACTATTTCGTTTTAGATTATGTTATTTGTTTGAAATATATTTACATAATTTATTTTAATTATTATTTAAATTCACTTAATAAATGTATTCAGTTTCTTTTATTAAACTTTTATTATTATTAACATATTTAAATAAATAAATATATTAGTAATATAAATAAATAAATAAATTAAACAATATATGAAATATATATTAAATAAAAAGATGTTGAATTATTGGTAGATATAAATTTTAAGTCAAGTTTTTAACATGTGATCTTGTAGATCAAGTGTGTAATGGATGTAAAAGTTCACAAGAGGTTAAAGGTTCAATCCTTAGTATAGCTATTTTTTTATAATTTGCCACATTCGTCATAATATGTATTACATGTAAGCAAGTTGTTGCTACCTTACTTCCACCTCAACAAAAAAATGATTTTACACGTAGGTGGGCTCCGGTCATTTTAAATAAAAAATTACAATATGTATTAATATGACAAATTTAGATATAATATAATTATCATCACAAAACAAACTATATAATGATGAATTGTTCTTAAGCATTATATTAAAAACAATAAAAACACAACGATTTATTTTCTTCATAGTGACTTTCCTCATAATATGTATTAATGTGACGAATTTAGATTTAGATGTATTATAATGCATCGTCACAAAAAAAAAAAAAGTTATATATTGATGTTACGAATTTATGTATTATACGTGAGCATCATTTTAAATACAAAAACAACGATTTTTTCATCACAATACATATTAATGTGACGAATTTAGATATATTATAATTTATATCACAAAACAAATTATATAATGACGATTTTTCGTGAGCGTAATACTAAACACAATGTAAACACAACGATTTATTTTCGTCATAGTGACTTTCACCCCAATATGTACTAATATGACGAATTCAGATGTATTATATCGCATCGTCACAAAGCAAAGTTATATAATGACGAATTATACGAGAGCGTCATTTTAAATACAAAAGAAAAACAACGATTTTTTTCGTCACAATATGTATTAATGTGACAAATTTTAATGTATTATAACTTATCGTCCCAAAAAAAATTATACAATGACGAATCTTTTGTAAGCGTCATTTTAAATAATTAAAAAAAACAATGATATTTATTTCGTCGCACTAAATTTCGTCATAATATCTTTTAATGTGACATATTTAGATGTATTGTAATTTATCGTCATAATAAATAATTATAGAATGACGAATTAGTCGTAAGCGTCATTTTAAATAACAGCAACATTGACGGCATTTTGTTTGTCACATTTAATTTCGTCAGATTTCATATACAAATGACGAACTTAGATGTATAGGTGACGAATTGAGGTGCATTGTCGTGAAAAATATCATTATGCGACGAAAAACCAATTCTAAGATGACGAATGTAGTAGTCGTCACCGTATGCAATTATGTAATGACGATTTCTTACATTCGTCACCATAGGGTAACATATGGTGACGAAATTTTTTTTGTCACATGAATTTCGTCACTTTTTGGCAGATTTCTTGTAGTGAATAACATATATTTCTCGCACCATCGCGTTTCGAAGCAAAACCGTATACATTTAAAGAAGTCGTGGAAAATAAAAGTAAATATGGGCAAAAACGAAAAATAAATCAACGTCTCCGGAAAGGCTTGTTTTCGAACACGGCAGTACTATTTTATGTGGATAACATATATTTCTTACACCATAGCATTTTGAAGCAAAATCGTACACATGTAAAGAAGTCGAGGAAAATAAGAGTAAATAGGGAAAAAACGAAAAAAAAAAATCAACGTCTCCAGAAAGGCTTGTTTTCAAACACGACTCCATTATTTGATGTGGATAACATATATTTCTCGCACCATCGCGTTTCGAAGCAAATTCATATGCATTTAAGGAAGTCGAGGAAAATAAGAGTAAATAGGGGCAAAAACGAAAAAAATAATCGTCTCCGGAAAGGCTTGTTTTCGAACACGACACCGTTATTTGATTTGGATAACATATATTTTTCGCACCATCACGTTTCGTAACAAAATTATATACATTTATTATTTGATGTGGATAACATAAATTTCTCGTACTATCGCGTTTCGTAACAAAATTGTATACATTTAAAGAAGTCGAGGAAAATAAGAGTAAATAGGGGCAAAAACAAAAAAAATCAACGTCTCTGGAAAGGCTTGTTTTCGAACACGGCACCATTATTTGATGTGGATAACATATATTTCTCGCACCATCGCGTTTCGAAGCAAATTCGTATGCATTTAAAGAAGTCGAGGAAAATAAGAGTAAATAGGGGCAAAAACGAAAAAATAATCGTCTCCGGAAAGGCTTGTTTTCGAACACGGAAGTATTATTTTATGTGGATAACATATATTTCTTACACCATAGCATTTTGAAGCAAAATTGTACACATGTAAAGATGTCGAGGAAAATAAGAGTAAATAGGGAAAAAACAAA